GCAGATTTTGTTGAAATTGCTTCATATTACTGCTTTGTTTACAAGTCTTTTTGATGAGGGCGGACTTGGCCCTCCAATAACCTCATGACACATGGCATCCCGAAACAGTTGGGCGACACCCAGATGTCACCTAAGTGATGATTTGGAGTCCCAGATCGTAGTTCGTCTTTGCCCCGACCAGTCGACTGCCTTTATCGCTGATCTGGCGACATCGACCACAACTTAGGTCGGTTTGCAGCACCTCGTCCAGGGCCAACCTATAGCACCTCGTCACCAGCCGAAGTGATCTTGATGCATGGCGTGACACTCTTTGAGGACCAGGCGGTGACCTGCGAGATGTGCTCGTCGACAAATTCGGCATGCATACCTCGACACTTCCAGGTTTCTTTGAAGTTGGTTCGCGTACCGAATGTTTCGGAGGATGGTCAACGTGCATAGTGGTTACATATTAGGATTTTGGACCGGTAAGGCACGACCTCTCGGAAATCTCAGATGCGGTGCGTGAAGCCAATGCCAAACAATGCCTATATAAAGGCACCAACCCCAATGACACAAGGTACGCGTGACTATTCTACTATCTAGCACTCAACCTCTCAGGCATTCAACTTGCATTTACAGCATATTTACTGACTTAAGCATTGGAGAGACCTCGTCAGATTAACTACCACGGGTTCTTTGATAGATTATCTTGCAGATTGTTCCAACTCGCTGTCCACCTGAAATTTGGATCACCCTCTAGCTAGGAGTAGTCAAATTACGCACCATCACTTTTTAAACTTGAATATGGTTTGGCCATAACGATGATTAGTTTCCGAATTTGTAATGTTTGTGTTTCTCCTCTCTATTTCGCACTAGAGAGACCACCAAACGTGTAGTTGGAGAGCAGGCTTAGATGTATCCAGATCACTTATTTCTGATGTGGAGTTCAAATCAAAGTATCTACATTATTGTTCCCTCAAACAATTTAAGGTGCAGTTTGGGAATGCTTATTTTAAAAATAAATGGTTATTTTAATAAACTTTCATGAAAAAGCACTTATTTCAAACAAGATAATGTAAGTAACTTTATAATAACATGGAAGGCGAAGATTGGACGGAAAGGAATAACATTTGTGGAAGCTTATTTTTCAAACACAAATAAATGTTCATTGGTGTGTCTGGGCCCAAAATAAGGAATAACATGTCTTTTTGCTTCAATTCATGAAGCTTTATATTTTATTTATTTTTTGCTTCTTGGGGCTATACAACTGGGGATAGTCCATCCCCTTCTTAAAGCCCCCCAACCCTACGAGGGTGGTAATGGGATTTGATCCCACATCTCTACTATAACGAATCAATCAATCAGTCAGATAACCTATCAACTGAGCTACCATCAGAAGTTTTGTTTTTGATCAATGAGTGAATGGACCAAAAATAAAATATTTCCACAGAAATTTCAATGACAGTTAATGAATAAAGAAAATTATGATTTGATTTTGTTTCAGGCTTCATTTTGTGTTGTTTGTTTGCATTGCCAAAGATTTAAAGTCAAGCTTAGAGACATAGTAAAATGCCCATAATACCTATGCATTTGTACTGGTGTAAATGAAAATTCCAGTGAAAATAAAGTGCTTAACAAAGGAAAAACATGTCCTCACTATGAAACAAAATGTACCTTCATTTCTCATCTGGCTTCACAATATGGGCGGTGTTTGCTTCTATTGTCGTTCTGAGCAAACCATGCATCAGTATATGCTATTTGGTTAGTTGTTTTCTCAAAAATCGGCCCACTTCGGAAAACGTCATTGCAAATTGCGATGTTTGTTTTTTTTCCCTCAAAACATTTTTTTGGAATAATAACTGATGTGGCTTCGATGTGGCATCAATTTTCTGTGGAACCAAACAGCACCATGCATTAATGTTTTCTGAAATTAAGACACTATACACACACTATTGTGTTGTAAAAAAAAATACAATAAAACCAAACACCATAATAATTTTTAATGCGGTAATTGGATCTGATTGAATTGGATATAAGTCCATGGATGTTTGATTACTCGTATTTGAATGAAATCGGATCCATTAAATTCATATGTTTTCTGGATGTTAAAGAGCAATAATAAATTAAACTTAAAATGATCAAAATGTTATATAAAATTAAATTTAAATACCATATACCATACATCATTAATACAAAATTTTTTATTAACTTATTATATATATCAATATATCATGAATAAAATGACATGAAAATGAGTTATTTAAAACTTGTGAGCTACGCCCCAGCTGTAAATTTGAAGTAATATATAAATAGAACTGAATCATATCATATCATATCAGATTAGGATGGATCCATGTATGATCCAAACAAGAATCTTTGAAAAATATTGCCGAAGACCTTACAAAGCCATTGACTACAAATGAGATTAAGCTTTGTCACATTCTCCCTAGGTCCCACAAAGTCGCCGGGAACTTATGGGATGCGGAGACTTTTTTTTTTTTTTGTAAGATAATGGCCCACAAGCTGCTCAAATTATCTTTAACCATTGGACTGGTAGCCCTAAATCTGATTTGATTTTTTACAAATATATAAAATTATACAATTTGACAAACACTCCCTTAAAAAAAGTTACAGTTTTTTCATTTACCGTGGCAATAATTAAAATGTCCGTGACTGAATGGGTCACTTCCTTCTCCTTCGTGGAAGGAGCAAAAACTGAATTCAAATTTTTAATGACGTGTTAGATGCAGACATCCAGTGAGAAATGGGAATCGTAATTGAAATAAATTAGACTGTTGGAATGGGATTTCATACTCAAGATAGGGTAAGGGAATGGTCATCCCCTCAAATGGGAGAGTTTCATTTCAGCAGGAATGAGATGGGATTCAAATTCCACCCAATTACACAGCTGAAACCGGAATGACCGATTCTGATTCCAGACCCCCCTATTCCCGCAAATCAAACAGGCCTTTGGAGTTTCTTTAGCACAATTAGCACTCTTCGTTGCTTATTCACCGGTTGTGTTTAGTTGCAGAGTAAATATATTTGCACTGATGCAAAACTATGGTAGAATAAATGGTTTGGATGTAAATTTTGATTTATTTTTATTTTAAAATTTGCCTTCTTTTATATGATTAGAATACAAATAAAATAAAACACCTAAAGTAAAAAAAAAATTAAAATCTATAACAAATTTAAACCATAATTTATATTCTTTTCATTTGCACTTCTAAGCATTTGCATTAACACAAATAAAATTGCACTGCAACAAACACAGCCTTATTGCTGTTGTTGTCTGTCTTTATCATTCTCATCGTGCAAATTAATTGTCACCACAAGTCTACCACCGTATGCAATTGCAATGGCATTTCCTTGATTGCAAGTCTACCACCGTATGCAACTTTTGTCCCACACGACTGTCTGTTGCCTCTCGAGAACAGTCCAAATCCACATTAACCGTCCAATCTCTTCTTTTCCTTTTTTGACTTAAAGAGTATAGTATTCATGTAATAAGCGCTTCTTCTGTCTTAACGTCTGCCTCTAATGTAACCAACAGCAGTTATTGACGTTTGGGGTCAAAAAGTGGTCCTATCCTATTGGATCCATCATTAGCCCATCAACTTTGACTACATGGAACATGACCTCAAAATTTTGGGGCAACGTCGAATAATCCCCACCACAATAAATAAAATAATGTTTTCTTTTTTTTTTATATAGAAAAAATAGTTGAACTACACAAGACTGGGGTAGTTTTTCCCCTTACACTGCTTCACAAATAAAATTAAAATTATAAGACCTAAATTCCTTACTATCCTTTTGATTATTAAGAACTTTACGAATTAACTAATTAGCCAATTAATTCGCTTCCTGATACATATGCTTGAATCTGATATTAAGGTTAAAAAATTCAATAAAGTTTCAACATTCCCTAATGATATTAGCTAAACTAGAAAATCAATGAAGAACAGCAACCACTGGATGGCCCTCGTGCAGTGAATTTCCTTACCTCAGTTGGTTGATTTTTGCTGGAAAATACTTGGCTCCCATCCATTGGGGGACATACGTCTTAATAAAGGCATTTTATACAATAAATTTAAGGTTTAAAGTTAGGGTTTTAGAGATTAGGAATTTAGGCTTTGTGGGTTTAAGGATTTAGTCTTTAAAAGTTTAGGGGTTTAGACTTTAGATTATAAGGTTTAAGGTTTAGTGTTTTTCATAAAAAAAGTTTAGGGTTAATGTTTTAGGGTTTAAGGGTCTATAGTTCAGATTTTGTTAAGGTCAGTACGGAAGAAATACAAGTACAAATTTGTAGAGTGCAAAATCTTGTATTTTGTATAAAAATATATGACGTTATGGCTACCTTGGGGTTAATTGTAGAAGATCTTCCTATAATTTTGCTTTATTTTTTAAGGATCTCCCTTATAAGGCTTCAGAATCTTTAGCAGTTTGGATCCGGGTTTATTGATAAAAGGGTAAAATATAAGAACTTCTCCTAAAGCTTCTGGCAATCACAAAAACCTCCCTTATAGTTTACCAAAAACCTTCAATTATACCTCCATTCCATCTTTGTTCCAGTAATAAAGACTTCACTAGACCCATTCTTTTCAATTTAATTCAGATATCTTTTTTAATTAAAAGTGAAAAATTCTTTTGAGGGTATTTAATAAATTTTCATACAAATTGATAGAAGTAATGATAAACGGATATTTTTGAAAGATTAATGCATTAGACCAACATTTTATGTCCACGACCATGACAATAAAAAAGGGAGGTAACTGCAACTTTTCTCAATACTACAAGGGAGGTTTTTGTGAAACTGAAATTATAGGGGAGATTTTTATGATTGCTAAAAATCTAAGGGAGGCTTTTATATTTACCCTTGATAAAAGCAGCAACAAACACAGCTCCCGGGTTTCCTGCACTCGCATGGGTCCTCGGGATTTCCGGCAAATTTACCCTATGTTGTAATATAAATGCTGTAACAACATCCACAACCAGACGTTTTCTCCTAATCTGGCTATTCACTAAAAGCACAGCACACTTATTAAGCTTACTCACTAGTCACGATCGCGACTATCGCTTGCTCGCTCAGCCTAGCAAAAATGGCTGAGCCTGATCAGAAAATTGAAACCAGTGCTGTCCATGAAATACTAGAGATTGAATCACCCAACAAATACCGGAGAAAAAAGTTTGCTTTGACCTGTGCAACTTTAGCTTCCATGATTTCTATCTTACTGGGTTACGGTCAGTCTTCATCAGTTCATTGTTTTGTTCATCTTTTGATGTATAAGAAATAAAACTGGATATTTTGTTTTTTAATTTAATTTCTGTGTTGTTCAGATACCGGGGTGATGAGCGGAGCAATTATTTTCATCAAAGACGATTTAAAGATAAACGATACTCAAATTGAAGTCCTTGTCGGAATTATAAACCTATGTTCCCTAGTCGGATCTGTGGCGGCCGGAAGAACATCCGATTGGATTGGACGACGATACACCATCGTGTTCGCCGCAGTGATCTTTTTTGTCGGCGCTCTGCTGATGGGTCTCGCTCCAAATTATGCAGTCCTCATGGCGGGTCGAATCGTTGCCGGTTTCGGCGTTGGCTACGCTCTCATGATCGCTCCGGTCTACACTGCGGAGCTCGCACCGGCTTTGTCTCGAGGCCTCCTAACGTCCTTCACCGAAATCTTCATCAACGCAGGTGTCTTACTCGGCTACGTCTCCAACTTCGCCTTCTCTAAACTCCCGGAACACCTCGGCTGGCGACTTATGCTGGGAGCGGGAGCTATTCCATCGGTCTTCTTTGCTTTCGCTGTACTCACCATGCCGGAGTCACCGCGTTGGCTGGTCATGCAGGGTCGGCTCGGTGAGGCCAGAAGAATACTCCTTAAGACGTCGGATTCCAAAGAGGAGGCGGAGATGCGACTCGCAGATATCAAGGAGATGGCCGGGATACCGGAGAGTTGCACGGACGAGGTCGTCGTGGTGGAAAAACGCAGCCACGGGGAAGGGGTATGGAGGGAGCTTCTCCTAAGGCCATCACCCACAGTTCGTCGAGTTTTAGTCGCAGCCGTGGGAATACACTTGTTCCAGCAAGCCTCCGGCATAGATGCAGTGGTGCTATACAGCCCAAGGATCTTCGAGAAGGCAGGGATCAAGAAGAAATCAAGTCTATTAGGTGCGACAGTATGCGTGGGAATCAGCAAGACGAGTTTCATCCTGGTGGCGACATTTCTACTGGACAGAATGGGAAGACGGCCATTGTTGCTGAGCAGCGTCGGAGGAATGATTCTGTCGCTCTTGGGACTTGCGTCTGGTTTAACGATAGTGAATCACTCGGAGGAGAAGGTAGGGTGGGCGATTGCACTGTGTATCCTGACGGTACTGACGTTCGTGGCGTCGTTCTCGATTGGGTTGGGGCCAATCGCGTGGGTGTACAGTTCAGAGATATTCCCGTTGAGGCTTCGGGCCCAGGGCGGGAGCCTGGCGGCCGGAGTGAACAGAATGATGAGTGGGATCATAGTGACCACGTTCCTGTCGCTGTACAAGGCCATCACCATCGAGGGCAGCTTCTTTATGTTCGCCGGAATAGCGACGGTGACCTGGGTGTTCATTTATGTGTTTCTGCCGGAAACACGAGGAAGAACACTGGAAGAGATGGAGGTTCTATTTAGCAAATGGAGGTGGACCTTGGATGACTCAATGAAATGAGTAGTGAAATGGCTGTTTGTTTGTTTCTTCAGTTGTAATACAGTACAATAGTGACACGATAAATTAGATGACGTTTGGGGAGAATGAATGAATGGAGATATCCTTAGCATAACTATCATGAATGAAGTTTTGCGGTACGAGAGGAAAGGTTCAGTTTCAACTTTTTGAAGATGAAAATATTGATTGTGAAGTATTATAGGTGTTTTGTTATGTATTATGAAATTGGATTAGTTTTGCGGTGATAAATCTACTTCTTATATATCAAACAGATTTTTAGCTGTAATCGATACAAACATCAATTCCAATAAATCATATGGTTTTTTTTTTTTTTATCAAAAGCCCTCATGAATGCAAATTTACTTTTTTTTTTGACTTTTACACGTTATTATCAATGTAAATATGCACTGATTTGTCATTTGCCAATGCATAAGTATAATATTGCCAAACACAGGCAAAAATGAACCAAAATGCAAATTTACCTCGAACCCATATTTACACTCCATTTGCATCGTTTCCAAATGCATTAATTGCCAGCTTTTGTGTGTGTGTGTTTTAATTATGGTTTTATTTTTTATTTTTGGACTAAATGCATTGTCAGCTTTTGTGTGTATGTTTTACATGCATAGAAACAATTCATCAATTACCGTCTAACTTTTGAATGCATGGCCATTCCTTTGTCATATTTTAACAGTACTAAACCACATCAAAAATATAAATAGTTTATGTGAAAATGCATTTAATATGTAATATATATATATATGTATAATTATATTTCGTCAATACATATTACATTTTATACAATAAGATGGCTACGGATATACAAAATCACTTAGCCACATCAGCCTTGTTTTCGACCATGCACTTGTGTTCAAAAGGCTATTTTCCATAGGCTCACTTTGGAAGGAGTACAAATACAAATATGTAGAGTGCAAAGATTTGTATTTTATATTATTTTGGATGTATTTGCATTGTACATATTTGCATTTGTACTCCTTCCAAATTGAGCCATATGTTAAAAAAAAAAAAAAGAGGATTTTAATGGTTTTGGAGCCATGCATGGTTTATTGGTCCTAGAATCAGCAACAAAATGAAAATGTCCTTGAGAACAACCATTGATTTCGTAAACAAATGGAACATGAAGATAACCCCAAAAAGAATATCCCAATGCCTTGTTCACTTTTCAGTAAGTTAATTAGAAACACTTATACAGGTAAGTGCATTTATCCATTCTCTTTTATTTTCCAGGTAAATAAACAATAACCATTTTAGTCATAAAAATCCATTATTAAAAGGTGCATTTTTTGTCCCATTCAAGTGTTCACAACTTTCACTTAAGATGGAAAAGTTACCCACCTATGAGATTATACACACGAAAATAAATTTTTCCTGATCCCCTATAAATCTGAAAAAGAACATGGGTTTTTTGATGAATGGGAACCAAAATCCCATTGACCAACTTCCTCCCTCCCTCTCTTAAAATACAAAAAAATAACACCCACTAAGTCTCAAAGAATTGAACTACAACATCTATAGGAGCTTATTTATTTATTTTTGTAAGAGAGGTCTCTCGCTTGCAGCTTCTTTTTGCTTCTTGTGAATAAAAACTCTGTTTACATCTGGTTTATGTTAACAATGTCCCAAATGTATTTCGATCCCTTGGATTGTGTAAGAAATAGATGACATGCATGTGGCAAACGACTCAAACCACAGTTTTGGTGGGATCCAAAACTAGATAAAGATAATGATCTCAACCCTTCTGGTTGTGAGCTAACAATTGTTTCAGACTAATAAGTCATTATATGTTCGTGGTTTTTCAGAAGACCATTTTCATTTGAAGTCCTGCCCTATGGCCCCTCTCTGACAAGCCATTGTAACAAATGATAGTGCCAATCTCATTCTATTGTCCAATTTGATTGGAGAACTCATCTCTTTCCTCTTTTCCTTTTTCTCCCTCTCTCCCGACCAACACAACTATCACTCTCTCACAGAAGATTCCCTAGCATATTTCTGCCAGATCTCCTTTGCTGCATTTTTAATTTCACCTTCCGTTCATGAAAAAGATTGATTGTTTCATCTACTTGGTTAAAGTTCTCTGACATGCAATTTTTTACTGCTATTGGATTTTCAGGGTCTGTTTGGTTTATATAAAGAATCAGTATTGAATTCTGAATCAAAATCCCTTAAAATTGGAATGAAAATAGTCTATTTCTATAGTTTATTTGATTCAGACAGAAGTCAGAAAAAGAAATAGAATAAACAAGAATGAAATTTCATTTTCAAGAAAGGAGGATGGAAGGAGTATTTTTTCAAATGGAAGAATGCTATTCCAGCAGGAATATTAGGAATGGGCCGGATTCTGATTCCATGCACCCACCAAACAGTAGAAGTAGGAATGATCCATTTCCGGTCCCATTCCAGACCCCTATTACCGTGAACCAAATGGGCCTTCAGTATCTTTTATCAAAATCTGTTGGCTGAGACAAATCAAGCTGAGATGTGGAGCTTCATTAGCAAAGTACTACTCAATGTATTCGCCTGATTTTGACTCATTCTTTAATTGGTCTGATCAATCAGTGTTCAGTGAGAGCAAATCAGCCCCCCACAAGATTGCCCCCCATAACATCCCACGGCACATTTCCCCTGTGTATTGAGAACTTCTCTCAATGATGATATCATCATCCAAAGATGTTCACAATACACAGCAGGGATGTGCTGTGGGGGGCTGATTTGAATTCGTGTTCAATGCGCAACATGCACCTCTGTTGGTTTGGCATTACCACCCGCAGATTTTGAGATTCGTTCCTTTTAATTATTTTGGGGAGAGTGCAAATAAAAAATATGTAAAGCTCAGTTGGGAAGGAGCACAAATACAGTGTAGAGTGTAAAACGTTGTCTTGTATTATTTTGTATATATTTGCACTCAGGGGTGGAGTTAAGTACACTGGTGGGGTCCCTCCAATTTTTTTCTTAAAACCATTATTTATATGTAATTACTAAGTGGAGGCTGAGTCAAAAACCAAATAAATTGAGTCCTTGGCTCCCCAAAACTTCAACTAAAATGTAAAAGATCACTCTTTAGTGTTTAAGCTCCTCCAACTCTTAAAATTAAAAAAAAAATGCTATTTATTTTTTTTTAAAAAGTCTGTAATAGACCCAAAACTTCTCAGGCCATTTTTCTCCAAACCCCTATTTCTCTTTTTTCTTTTGTTGCTTAACTTGGTCCCTCCAAAAGAAAATTCCTGGCTCTGCTAGCCACTGTAATTGCACTATTCGTATTTGTAAAGGACTACAAATACATATATGTAGAGTGCAAATCCTTGTATTTTGTATTATTTTATAGGTATTTACACTCTACATATTTGTATTTGTATTCCTTCCAAACTGAGACTATACTGTGTTTGGTTGCAATGCAAATAAATTTGTACTGATGCAAAATTATGACAATGCAAATAATTTGACTGTAAATTCTAACCTATTTTTTTGTTTCAAATTTTATCTTATTTTGTTTGATTGCAGTACAAATGAAGTAAATAAGACATTAAGCAAAATAAAGTAAAACCCAAAATAAAGTTAAACGCGAATTTGCATTTTTTTTCATTTGCACTCCCATGCATTTATACTAGTGCAAATAAAATGCACTTAAACCAAATACAAAGTGTAAATACGAGTTTTAGAAAAGCATATACAAAGTTTTGCACTCTTCCCAAACTGAACCCAAACCTAATGCTGGGAAGAGTTTGTAGGATAAGTTTAATAGAATGTAAGATAAGCTCGGTTTATGGCTGTCTATCCAAGGCAATTCACCACTGCTTCCTAGAAGCAGAAGCTGAAGCCTCACTCGAACGTCTGAAAAAACTTGCTGAAAGTTTTAGTGTCATTTTGGAAGGCAAATCTAGAGTGAGGACTCATGCTCTGTTGGAGTCTTCTCCTCTCACTTCTCCAAATTTACTCAAGTTAGTGTTTCTCATCTTTACAGGTAATCGAATGCAGTGGCAAACCTGTTTGCTAATGCTGCTTTTACTCGATACCATGAATCCTAATGGATGATTGATCCACCGGACTTTACTCTCTGAATACTCTTTCTACTGATATTAATCACAGCAATGTATCCCTGTATCTGTGTTAGCGATGAATGAAATTTGCCTTGGGGCTTCCGAAATAAAGGATAAGTTAAAGGTAGTTTGAGATAATAACCGAAGGCTATGCTTGGGTTGAAGGAAAAAAAGTAGGGAAAGGAAAGGAAATGAAGGGAAACCTTTACAAATCTTGTATAGGTTTTTGTCCATTTCCCTACTCTTTCCTTCAAACCAAACATAGCCTAAAACAAAATAGCACCGTAGAAATTGCCATAAACAAGTGCTTATGTCGTATAAGAACATGAGAAATAGACAAACAATAATGTTCCTTCATAAATGGGCTTCAGGAGAGTTACCCAACCAATATATAGGCAACTTTCAGACACATTTTGATATCCTAGTAATAATGGAAAGATAAATAGATAATTAGTTTGTGTCACAACAACCCTATTTGCGGTCTAAGCAGTTTCATGAGGATTTGTGATTTAAAATACCAAAAGCACAATCCCTTAAATTGTTGTGTTTTTAAAATCAATACTTGCCAAATCTTCAAAACTGTTTTTTTGGTTCACTTTTACTTGTTTAATTCCCACAACCCAAAGCTCAAAAGCAAGAGCTTATCCAAACTGATTACAAATTAACCCTTTAAACCTAAATTATGTTGAACCTATATATTTTATCCACCAGTAAAAGTTGATTAAGTTGCAATTGGCAAAAGTGATTTGATGATGAGGAATGCTTCTATGTTCAAAGTTTTAGTTTACATGTAGAATCAGTCCAGCAAAATGTGATACATGCACCAAATATGTATATTGTCTTAATTTCAGCCTCTGTAGATGGATTAAGGGTTTAATGTTGCTGAAACAACTACGAAGGAAATCTAAAGAAAACAAAGAAGAATAGCAGGAAAGAAAGAAAGAAAAAAACATATAAACAAAAAAAAGAATAGAACTATGGACAAAAACAATCTGATTTAGAAAACAAATATGCAATCTGAAAAAGAAAATGAAAAGAAAATAATATTCCTTTGCAGATTAAACAAACATAGTAAAAAAGAATCAACTTCATACTTGGAGGTACTCAACCATGCAAAGAGAACTAACTGATTTCTGCTTCCTACAGTCGCTACTAACCATCACTTGATACACAAATTTTTGCAAATATTCAGACGATAGATCAAACATTTCAACTACAAAGATTTCAAGAATCAAATTTTTTTGCAAATGATAGAAACGAAAGAACAGATCAACTATTAATTACGAATGTTTTGATAAAATACTATTAAGTACGACTTGGAAGACAAGTTTCTTTTAATTACACAGATGATGAATTGATGATCACCCTAATGTAGAAAAGAAAGAACAAATCGAAGAGAAACAAAAATTTCAACGATCAAAAGGACCTGTATGGTCAAGTTGCTTGCAGAGTCCAAGATAAGTCAGATAAAGAACCCGATCTTTGGCACCTGTACGATGATTCTTGGTGTGCTTACAGAAGTATTTCAATTGCTCTAGACTACAACAGCCGAGCATCTGTCCAAGAAGCAGGAAAAGCCAATTGATCATCTTTTTCTTCCTATCTATAATGGGTTTGGCGCTGTTGACCTGCTCACAATACCTGCATGTGGGGAGCAGTGGATGCGTCCATTCTCTCGGAGCCCGATCGTGCATTGTGCTCTTCTTTGTTGCGATGAATGATGCAACCTCTATGAATTTGCTTTCGAGTTGGAACTCCATTTCGTACTGATGCTCACATTTCTTGCATTTTACTTCCCCGAATATAGTGTGGATGCCCATGGATAGGAGGTTGTGAAGACTATGTACAGTGGCGCGGTGGTTGGTTGCCCATGGATAAGGAGGGGTGATGACTTCACTATTTCCGGAGCGACGAACTTTTGGAGGGTTTCGCCGAGTGCGTAAGGGGCGGGAAGGAACGAGCTCTTGACGAGCTTGTGTCGGCGTTGGAGGTCCGGTAACAAGAGTAGGAATGTAAAAAGGGTGATGAGGTGGTGGTGGTGAGATCATAGGTTCTGGCGACTTAGTTGGTTGCAGTTGTGGTCTTGGTTGATGCAGTGCTGGTTGAAGAGGCAATGGCAGTAGTGGTGGTGGTGGCCTTGGTCTGGCTGAAGGAGGGGAGAGGGTTAGAGCAAGACGATCTTCGAGATCTTCTGAGGAAAAGGCCCACTGATTGTGGATGTCTTGACTATTCTTCATCCGTCTGTACGTATCTTCTTGGCCCATGAATGGGTAGGTTTTGAATCTCAAGAGGAACGATTAGAAACCTAAGAAATCCTGCGAGCTGTGTAAAATAGAAAGAAAGAAAGAAAATGGTTAAGGGTAGAGGAAGAGATGGTTAACAATAAGACACTGAGATAGATGAAGTAGAACAAAAATAAAAAACCATGCAAAAGCCAAGAGCAATTCTAATCAATGTCAAAGTTCTTTCCTACCAATGGAAATTGAAGCAAAATGAACCTTATAATCATTTATGAAGGCCCAACTCCACGTGGCTTGGGCCTAGCCCATGATCATCCCTAGTCTAACTACAATCCAAGTTGCATATGTAGAGAGTATAGACAAAATAAGTATAAATGGACATTTAATTAGTTAAAATTAGATTTGTTGTTTTCCATTAGTAAAACTAATTTTTAATAATCTTTGTTAAATTTTATTATACTTAATTGAAATTAAAATAAATTTATAATTTTTATTACTAATAAAATTTTATAATATATTGTAATTACAATATTTTACATACTAATTATTATAATGTTACTGATATTAATTATTTTATGCTGCCATCTATTATTTTCTCTTAACAGTTTCTTAGATATCATTCTTTTACTTATCTTATTTTAATATTAAAGTCTTAACATGAGTTGTGGTGTTTCAATACATTTAATTCATTTTTAATTTTAAAATTATAGTTTCAATTTAACCATAACTTTTAACTTGAATAAAAGTCATAATCTTGAAATCCAATCGGTTCTAAATTAAATTCGGATCAATCAGATTTTTTATCAGATCAGATATATCTTTTATCGAATCCATCCAAGCAAATTATGTTTGGTTTGAAGGAAAATGCAGGAAAAAAAAAGGGGAAGATAAGAAAACCTTTACAAATCTTGTATTGATTTTCTTGTCTTTTCCTACCTTTTCTTTCAAACCAAACATAGCCTAAAAGATCGGATGGAATGTGAAGGTGAAAAAGCATAATAAGTTTAACTTAATTAAAAGATTGGATGGGTTAGGTCTAATATTTAGGCTTCAATACTGATTCAGGTTGACGCTCATACTAAATAGTAAACGGGTCGCATGGACTCGATTCGATCGATCTCCTTCTTCACCCGCATTTTTTAGGACGGGTCCGCATTTCAGTTGGTAAAACGGGCATATACAGTGCATATCATCGCAGGAGATAGAAACATTGAGGTAACCTGTGTTTTAGGGTGAACCCTACGACGGCAACGTCATCAGAAACCGGCGATTGTTCAAGAAGATAAACAACGGGGTTTGAAACAAACGCCTTCACAGTCTAACAGAAGTAGAGTACACCTAAAATGAAGTCTCCAATCCTTTACCACCTATGCACCGGCAGCAACGTCACCAGAAACCGTACCGGCAGTTGCGCTAGAATAGTTAAATTTTCAGATTTAACGAGATCTGAAACAGATGCTTCCATAGTTGAAATCACAAAGAAAATGTAAAGGAGGACGAATGCTACTTACTGGCCGTACCCTGAGAGCAAAAATTTGCTTTCCTCGTTTCAAACAGAGGCTTGGAACACAATTGAAATCTGAAGAAACTTGGAAGAAAAACTGATTAACCAGATGCTTGTAACACAGTTGAAGAAATTTGAACACACACTGCTCATCAGATATTGCTTCAACGGAGGTTTGAAACACAGTTGAAGAAACAGTTCAGAACGGAGGCAACAACAGAGACTATTCACGTTAGAGATCCCAATGAGTAAGCGACGGAGTGGCGCATGTATACACGTTTCATGAGATATGTATTATCTCAATTAAAAGTTAAAAAAAGAATTCAAAAATTTTAAAATATTTAGAATGCATAGCGGTTAGCGGAAATCCCCCACAGTTGCCGAGCAAGATGTTGTAATACGAACCTGAAAAATCGGAAAAAGAACAACTAAAGAGAAAAAAACGGAGAAGAAAAGCCAGAGAAAATTTCTCTCGAAAATCCCGAGCTATCAAATTTCTTCCAATTGATTAAGCTGTTTTCATTGTATTATAGATATCCGAGACGGCATCCAAGGTATGAGAAGAAATGATCATTTCTCTTTGGACGTCTCTCTGTTTTAGTTCTTTCCAAGTTCGAATTTCATTGTTTTACCTGTCTCGCGTTCGCCCCGGTAAGAATTCCAATTTTCTATGCGGTCAAGTCGGATATCATTTTACGATTGCAATACACAAATCAATGAGATTGAGAAGGAAACTTAGAATTTAAACCAGAAATAAAGTCCTTTAAGAAAAGTTCTGGTCCAATCTACGGCTGCAAACGGATCGGATCGGATTCGATATATGCGTTAAGAAAATCCGACTGATTCGAATCCGATAAGGATTCACTGGATTTTCAATTCGAATTGGAATTTGAATGTATTATTGGATATCCGATTCGATTAGAATTATATTTATATTTATATTATGTAATATAAAAAATATATTATATAATTTATATAACATAATAATATATTAAAATATATAATATATAATTATATAAATAATATATATATATATATATGTAAATAATATATAATATTTCATAATTAATAAATTGGATTGGATGACAGTGAATAGGATCAGCCAATATCTGGATTCAAGTCGTTAAGTTAACAAATCCGATCCGATTTGTTATGATCTGGAGGGATATCTAAATCCGCCTCTTAATAGATTGGTGTCTGATTCGGATCGGATCTGGTCCGACTTATTTGCAGCTCTAGTCAAATCTATTAGAGGTGTCATTGGACCGGTTTTGGATTGGGCCCCATCCAAACCAAAATCAATTTGGATGGATTGGACGGATGAAAAATGAATACTTATTTTGAATTATTAAATATATATGAGTTTGAATAACTATTTATTAAATATATGGATTGGACGGACGGACGAAAAATGAATAATTCAAGTCGAACTATTTATTGTTATAGTCGAGTTTGAATAACTAATCGAGTTTACCCTGACATTCAAACTCGATTAGAATCAAACTTGAGCCTGAACTATTTAATTAGGGTTCTATTTGATTGCACCCCTGTTTATAGTTATAAAGCTAGATATGCACAAGATTTATGATAGAGCTGAATGGGTTTTTATCAAAAATATTCAGGGAAGAATGGGATTTGAGGATTATTTTTGGAATTGGATAGTGCAATGCATATCTTCTAAATCTTACCAGATTTTGGTTAATGGCCCAAGCAGAGAGTTCTATCCTTCCATGGGTTTGAGATAGGAAGACCATCTATCTCCTTATTTGTTCATGCTTTGTTCTATAGTTCTATGATCTATCCTTGTCATTTACACTATATATGTAGGTCCTATCTTTGGCATTCAATGAAACAATCTTTGCCGTGTCATTATTCATTTATTTTTTGCACATGACTCTAACTAGGTAGGAATGGCAACAGGGCTGTCCGCATGAAAATCTCCATCCCTGTCCCTATGGAGATCTCCATTCCCTGATTTTTTATAATGTTAAACATTTTGTTTTTTTTTAAATAAAGTAAAATAATTAAATTTTACAATTTTATTAGAAAAGATTCAAATATATGTAACTATATTTTTAAAATATTAATATATAGACGTATGTGTACATATATACAAATATAGCGTATGCATACATATATACATATATATATATTAGTAGTGATCCCATGGAGCGGGGATCAGAGTCCCCACTAACGGGGATGAAAATTTTCCCATCCTCATCCCTGTGAGGGGAAAATCATTCCCATCCCTGCCTCATTCGGGGCAGATCCCCACGGGAATTGGGGAAATGGGAAAATTTATCATCCCTAACTCTTACATCTTGTCAAAAGTAAGTATTTCGGAAGAGAAACTGAGCATGGATGTATTGAAGCAGAACAAGAAAGTCTCGGATTTACATACAGAGTTTCAAAATCAGAAATCTTTTTAAGTCCAAATTTACATACAGAGTTTCAAAAAATTGTGTCCAATGTATGTTGGGCATTAAAAAATTGAATAGAACTTCAATTTATTTAGGACTTCCTTTCTGGGTGATGAGGACGGATTTGGCCCTCCACTAACATCATGACACATGGCATCTCATAACAACTGGGTGACACCCAGAATCACCTAGGTGACAACTTGCCTTAGCCAAAATGATGGGGTCCCATCTAGCGACTTGGCGACCTAGCGATCTGCTTCTGGTGCCAACTTGGCAACCTGCCATTGGCGCCAACCTAGCGACCTGCCTCTCGTGTCGACCTGGCGACCTGCCTCTAGCGCCGACCTAGCGACTTGCCTCTGGCGCCGACCTGGCGACCTACCTCTCGTGCTAACCTAGCAACCTGCCTCTAGCGCCGACCTGGTGACCTGCCTCTGGTGCCAACCTATGGTACCTCATCAATATCGGCTAAAGCGACCTCGACATGGGGCGCGACCTCCCTCGAGGGCTTGCTAACCTGATTGAGGCCCAGGTGGCGACCTACGAGACATGTTTTCCGTCGATTTCTGCATGCATCCCATCACTCCTGGGTCTCTTGGAAGTCAGCTCTCACACTGAATGTTTTGGGAGAAATCGAGTAAGGCGCAAAGATTGGCCTACATGCACGGCTACCTCTGAGGACCTCGGAGCAATTAGGTACGTCCTCCCAGAGATCCTGGACGTGTTGCGTGATGCTCACGCCAAACAATGCCTATATAAAAGGCGTACCTCCAACTCTAGGGGAGGCACAATTTTTAGTTTTGGCAGCTCTCCAACTCTCTCACATTTAATTATTTTAAAATCTCTGATTCGCTAACTTAAGCATCGGAGTGCCCACCCCGGGTAAAGCAACCCGGGCACTCTGACAATGTTTCCTTATAGGTCGCATCAGAGCCACCTCTCTAGCTCGTCACCATTCAGCTAGGCATCAGAGCCACCTCTCCAGCTCGTTACCATTCAGCTAGGCATCCAAGCCACCTTCCAGGTAGGAACCATTCAGTTAGGCATCTAAGCCACCTTCTAGGTAGGGATTA